GAAATTGCATTTTTTTCTGGTATGTCCTAGGTAATGTTACTTACCAAAATCTCAAATGCTAACTTTGGAATTGCCAGAAAATGACAGAAAATCAACTGTGTGTTTAGGAAACCATCCTAAAAGTCTTTGCTCTTAAATGTCTGGATTGCTGGGTCTGGTGATACTTTTTTTTTTCTTCTCTATTGTGTTGTAGAGTTCACTGTCAAAGTTTCTTTCTGCTTTTTGTTTAGTTTTCCTTACCTAGCTTTTTGACTGTTCTCCTGGCATCTTCTGTAATATCTGTTTTCTGGTACAGGAGTTGTTCCTTGTGGGTCATCTGTGGTCAGTCTTTGTTTCATTGTCTGGTGGAAGATATTGGTGTCTCCTTCACAGCTGGCCTTCTTGCGTTATATTTTTAAGGAGTTATGTATTTATCTATAAGCACATGCTTACTGAAGTCAGCACAATCATGTGCTTAAACACCAGCAGGATCTGGGCATTAAGTCTGCTCTTCTCTCTGAAGAATATGGCTTTGTAGTATTTGAAATACCTTTCCATACAGCACTTTAAGTACTTGTTTTGTTTCTAGCTTTGTTTTCTTCCACTTTGAGTCATAAATCGTTTCTCCCAGATTCTCCTTGGCCCTCAGCATTTTTCACTTATGGACCGTCTAGTTTCTCCTTGACTAATCGTCTTGTATGTTTTTAATAGCCTGAAGAACTTTGGCCAAAATGCCATTTTAAATCTCATTTTCTGTTTCCAGCATGCATTTTGATAATCCTCTTTTCTTATACTACTTACAATTAATGTACCCTATTAGTGTCCCAGACTATCAATGTGTCATTTGCTCAAAGGATTAATGTTAAAAAATGTGTTAGTACTAATACATAGTAAATGAGAGGGATTCCACTTATGCCTTTGGCTTCAAAATGTTCACTGGATGCTAGCTTTTCCTGGAGTCCTAACTAGAATGAGAATATAAACTAGGACTGTTAATAGATGGATTCTCTCAGATATTCATTAAAACTCATTTCCAGTAGTGGGCAATATTCTCCTGCAGTCTGTTGAGAATCCTCTTGTGGTTGTGCACTGCATGCTTTGTGGTGACAGTCTTTACCAAATCAGCTTGCAGAACTGAAAGTCAACTAGTTGTTGGAATTAGCTGCATTGAATTAGCTGTATAGCTAATCTACAGTATTTGGGAGTTTCATGCTTCAGTGGTCATAAATGGTTTGTTCAATGTCTTTAAAAAGAATAAGTTGCTTACGGTTGAAGATATGGTCAATGTCAGGCAGTAGGTAGCCATAACATTTTGAAAACAGTTGCAACTGTTTCCAGAAAGAGTTCAGTCAGGGTCTGAATTGTGCTTTAGCATTAACTTTATCCTTGTATATGAAGATTCAGAGTGGCCAGATGGGCAGTTTCAACCATAATATCCACATGCAAGATGATCTAACTCTTCAAGGTGGTGTAAGTAGTAGAGCTGGATGTAAAATGAAAATATGAAAATTAGATTGTAAACATTAGGTAGTAGGTAGGAAAAGTGGCTTTGATTTTTAAAACTGTTATTTATGTTATTAATTGATGGTTGGATCTCTTGCCAGGTGGTATTGTTAAGAAGAATGTGCCTCTCTGTCATGCAATGGAAGAAAGATGTATTGTTCCCATCACTAAGAATTTTAAAAAGTAACTGCATTGAGGAAGGAAGAATTCGGAGGAAGATTCTGAAGTACAAGTCCTGAGAGAAGGTACTTGTTCTCCCACAGTTCATATGTGTCTTATGTTTACATGCTTTCAAAGATGTTCATTGGCTTCAATGATAAACTCACAGAGCATGAAAGCATGGGCATAAGTGTTTCATTCTGAGACTGTAATCTGAGGTGTTGCCTCTGTTCATTTGCTAAACCGATAAAGCCTATAATGGGGCTATTTATTGTTTTGTCAGTTATGAGCAGTTGATGCTTTGCCTTGTTTACAAATATTTATTGAAAAATTGTTGCTTAAACTTGAGATGGGCAAGAGCTTCACTTTTCAGTAAATGCAATGATATATATTTTTAGGGAGCAGATTCTCAGCAGGTTTTAGTTATTGTGTGTGGCTGAATTTCAGAGACAAGTACCGCTTTCCATATGTTGGAAATTTGGACTTATCTTAGTATTCTACACATTATTTAAATGATTACTTTCATCTATGGATCTCAAAGTTGGCTTGGGTGTGCACATGTGGCATCTGGATCCTCTTCAGATCCAGGACATCACATGTTGAAGAAATAGATCATTGGATAATATCCTTGAACGGTTTTGTTGATGAGCCCTTTGTTCTGTCAGTCTTTGAGCTAGTTAAATAAAAACGTTTAGTGAGCTCATTTCTTATCTTGCAGAATGAATTACTGTATGAATTTATCCACATTGCTTAGTAATGTGCAGCTTGTTATATGTCTTACAGTTGCCACTAATTATCTGATACAAAGATAGTGGTTGATGCAAGCTGTGAACTGGGTGTTAAGGCAGCTTCATTTCATATAGTTCAATTACTGGTTTGTTGACATTAGGAAATAATTGAAAGAATTTGTAGGTCACTTTTAATGGTCAGTTACTGTCTTGTCTTAACTCATTCCTTCAGTGTAATTTGACATAATTTTCTGAAACAATGCAATACCTTTAATTCACTGTGGTTGTTCTTGTTATCACTATTGTCCAATTAGCATTTGATTTTTTCCTTAGACATGTTAAGTGCCCCAGTTTTCATTTAAGACTTTTGTTGGTTTTCTCATTTTTGTTTTAATTTTTCTGTCCTGCTCTTCAACCTTGTTTTGTAAAACATGTTTTGATTATAGCCCTTTATAACTTGTATATGGCCTAAATTGAAAACAATCCCCTTGGCATTCAAAAGATTCTGCTTTTGATTTTTGGCCCATTGCATTATTCCCACAAAGCTGTGAGGTTGCTGCATGTACATCACTGCTATATATTTGCTTACAGGACCCTGCTATCACATTCTGACTTTTTTCCAAACGCCAGTTTCAGATCTTTTCCTTAGAGGATCCTGCAGAATCAGCTGGGACTTGGGGCTCCCAGTGGAATTTCTTCCAGTTGTTCTGTGGAAGTTGAAAGCCAGCATGTTTTACCACATTCACTAAATTACAAAGCTGTTTCAAAGACCTTGCAGTACTTAAAAGTACCTACGATCATTATGCTTCAGTGACAAATTGGAGTTCTTGCTGACATATTTTCAAATGTCTCTGGCAGCACAATTCTGGGGAGACTTTAGTAAGTGGCTTCCCTTTCAATGAGGGAAATCTCTCATGGTTGATTTCAAGACATCAGGGAAAAGAGAAAGAATGGGAGTTGTGTCTGTTTTTTTCCTGAGTGGTAGGTAATAATCTCTTTCTGTAAAGAAAAAGAAATTTTTCTCTAAAGAAAAAGATTATTACCTACCTATTTCTTTACAGAAAAAGATTATTTAGGTAGAAATGGTGAAAGGTAAGTACCTTACTCCAAAAGTGTAATCCTGGAAACCCTAAACTCAATTACTGACTAATCCTGAAAGAGCAAAATCTAAACAAGAGCTTCAATGATAACTTCACTTCTACTTTATTTGTGAGCATGTTTTAGCATACATCTTTGTTTTCTTGGAATATTTCAAAGACTGGGAAATTTAATGCAAATCAAAGCTTATATTACTTACAGCTCTCATCAAGTGGTGGCTGCCTGTTCTTGATCCCTTGTGACTATTAGTTACTCATCTCATGATTGTACTTTTACGTTTATTAAATCCATGAATAAGCGTAAGCTGTGACAATACAGCTGCAGAATTAGGGAAAAAAAAAAGTAGTTAATGAAAAATGAATTAACACCCCATCGTTCAATACCTCATTTTACATTTTGGCAGATGAGCAATCCCACTCCCATGCTGCATCTGTATAAAGCTTCTTCAGGCTTTTTCACCTTAAAGATACAGCGAGGCTTCATAGTTCCGTAATAGCTCTCAACCTAGCAGGTATTGCACAGTGGCGGGAAAGTGTTGTATGGGTTTTGACCAAAATGAAGTTTTTGATCTCAGTACAGAAATGGAAGCAACTGCCTTTACTTCTAAAAGGACATGTGATTTCCCTTTGCTCAATCCCTCAATGACTGAGTGTAGAAGACTGACTTTGGTGAACAAGTACTAAATTGGGTTCTCTTTAAGGGGAGGAAGGAACTTGCTGGTAGGCAAGAATTAATGCACCAAACCAGGAGAGTTAAGGGATTGAAGATAATCTTATTCTATTTTTAGTTCATGCTTTTTGATCTGACTATTGGGATCCAATTTTAAGATGCCTGTTTCTGTATACTGTATAGGGAGCCTGAATGCCTGTCGTGGTTTAAACCCAGTCAGGTAATTCGTTCACTCACTTCCCCCCTTTCTTGCCCTCCCCCTGCTCTCGGAGGGACGGAGAGGAGAATCGAAAAGAATGCAACTCCCACGGGTTGAGATAAGAACAGTTTAGTAACTAAGGTATAACACAGATCACTACTGCTACCACCAATGATAATAAAGGAAATAACAAGGGAAGAGAATACATCATCTCACCACCAGCCGACCGATAACTCGCCCCCCAAGCCCGACCAAGCTCTGACCGATACCTCCTCCAACCCTGCAGTCTCCCGGTCCTTCCGGCTCACACCCAGTTACCTCCTGGGCATGACGTGCTGTGGTATGGAATACCTCTTTGGTCAGTTTGGGTCAGGTGTCCTGTCTCTGCTTCCTCCTGGCTCCCCTTCCTCCCTGGCAGAGCATGAGGCTCACAAAGTCCTTGGCCAAACCAAAACATCACCTATCAGCTCTGTTCCCAAGCTGAAAGTCAAAACACTGCACTGCACCAGCTACCAAGAAGGGGAAAAATGACTGCTACTGCTGAACCCAGGACATTATCCACCCCTTATTCCATACCATTCACGTCATGCTCAGATCCCACATTTTCAATATACTCTTATCTTAGTGCATGGACCAGTCCCTATAAAGCTGCTGAGTCCATCTGGTCCATGACGTCAGGCTCCATCTCTTGTAACAGTCTTCCAGAGCAGGAGAGACTGTGCAGTGTTCACACTCGTGAATAACCTGGGCAATAGTGTCCATCGCTAAGTCCACCCCTCGATCATGAGTCCATCTCTGTGTTGCATCTCTGCTCTGATGGCCTGAAGTGCCATGGGCCCACCAGGCTTAAAATAATTCACTGTCCCCTTAAGCAGTTTCTGCAGCTTGTTGCTGGGGACTCCATACAGCTGCCTTCCATCTCCAATGCTTCCAAAGCACTGGAGGGGCCCAGTGGACTAGATACTTGCCCATACTGTCCCACACACCCTGCCACTCATGACTGTCCAGCCTTGGGGAAAATCTCCTGGTCCCACTATATCGTTGTCTAACCCCAGACAAGACCCAAATCTGACTCTGCTTAACTTCTGAGATCAGACAAAATGGTTGTGGGTAAAACACAGCCTGTGTGTGTGCCAACATGCTGATCCCCATCACGATCAGCAGGCAGGTACCAAGGATACCCAAAGGCCATTCAAAACCTTCAGAACTCTCAACTGATGCTGCTGTACTTGTCACTGGGGCTGGTGTAGCTGCTGTACTTGTCACTGGGGCTGGTGCAGCTGCTGTGCTTGCCGGCTCTCCCACCGCCAGCTTCTCTTTTCCTGAGTCCAGCTCTTCCTCCTCTGCCTTGCTGGGAAATGCTGCGTGGTCTCCTGCGTCCTCCTGGGGCACGGCGGGCGGCTGCCGGGGAATGCTCTCGGCCGCGGGGCTCGGCTCCTCCGCGGGGCTGGGCTCCTCCGCGGGGCTCGGCTCCTCCGCGGGGCTCGGCTCCTCCGCCGCCTTCTCCCGCTGCTCGGCAGCCGCCTCCTTCCTCTCCTCGACCGCCCCGACCTCCTCCACCGGCAGCCGTCCCCTCGCGGCCTCCGGCCCCGCTCCCGCCGCCGCTTGCTCCCCGGGGCCGCTCTCCCGGGCCGGTTCGGCTGCCGCCGGCTCCCGGGGCCGCTCCCCCTCAGCTCCCCGCAGCCTCACGAAGATGGAGAGTAGGGTGAGGGCCAGGACGGTGAAGAGCAGCCGGACGGCCAGGTGCAAGTCCACGGCCACGTCCGTCCCGCCCTGCTGCTGGAGCCCGCCCGTATTACAAGCCATTGCCATAAAGCACAGTGAGACAAGAACCTTAGCCCAAGCCCCATACTTGATAAACACTATCACAGCAAGTACCGGCTCTACGTAAGTTACAACATTCTGAAGCTGTGAGATCAAGCAAAACAACTCTGAGACCCAATAAATCAGCATTGTGACGAGTGACTATTAATCTGGTCAGATCTGTCGTTATCTCAACCCTTCGTGCCCCACGTTGGGCGCCAAAAAGAACTGTCGTGGTTTAAACCCAGTCAGGTAATTCGTTCACTCACTTCCCCCCCTTTCTTGCCCTCCCCCTGCTCTCGGAGGGACGGAGAGGAGAATCGAAAAGAATGCAACTCCCACGGGTTGAGATAAGAACAGTTTAGTAACTAAGGTATAACACAAATCACTACTGCTACCACCAATGATAACGATGATAAAGGAAATAACAAGGGAAGAGAATACATCATCTCACCACCAGCCGACCGATAACTCGCCCCCCAAGCCCGACCAAGCTCTGACCGATACCTCCTCCAACCCTGCAGTCTCCCGGTCCTTCCGGCTCACACCCAGTTACCTCCTGGGCATGACGTGCTGTGGTATGGAATACCTCTTTGGTCAGTTTGGGTCAGGTGTCCTGTCTCTGCTTCCTCCTGTCTCCCCTTCCTCCCTGGCAGAGCATGAGGCTCACAAAGTCCTTGGCCAAACCAAAACATCACCTATCAGCTCTGTTCCCAAGCTGAAAGTCAAAACACTGCACTGCACCAGCTACCAAGAAGGGGAAAAATGACTGCTACTGCTGAACCCAGGACAATGCCTAACATGAAGTTTCAGAGTGCTTAATGCTTGTGTAGAAGTGCTTCAAGGATTTGTCTTCATGGTCCATACATTTTTTTTGGACCTTGTTGCAAATGGGTATATAGTAAAAACGCTTATTTCCCTGACATTCTGCCTTTTCTTAATAGAGATTAGGAAATCAAACGCTTACAGGAAGTGGGAAGATGCAAGACTAAATTAAATTTGTCATTTCTTTCTAGTGTTATGTTAAAAGCTTGTATTGACCTTCTCTACAAGGACTGATATTTAAAGGGAAAACTAAATAGTTAATGGCATTACTAAATTGTCTTATGTGGAAAGATAATGGTTCGTATTATCTGTAATCTTCATTACAGGAAAAGAGGTATAGTTCTAACATTTTGTATCTATTTACGATAAGAAGCAAACTCAATTTTTCTCTCCTCCAGAAGAGGTGCGTTTTTTTTTTTTGTTCTGAACTTTTTTATAGTTCTTTCTCTACCTGTCCGCATTGATCAGAATTATTTTATGGTAAACCTTGTATCAGTAGTTTCAAATGAGCTCAATATCTGTATATAGAGTGGCAGAAAAAGAATCTGATAGAGAGTTTAGATTTCCAAGCAAATAGATAATAGTACATAGCAGAATTTGTAGGTATTAATCTAAACCAGAACATTTGTTCAGTGTTGGCCTAGTAAGTTTTGTGTCAGAATCGGTATTGCACCCAGACCTCCGCAGCCTGAATGTGTTACATTTGCTACAATATTTTTAACTTCCTTACTTAAGTGTGCGTGTACATGTACACACACATATGCACAGTTGTGCTTGCGTTTGGAAACCAATGCAATTCCCAAGACATTTGCTCATAAAGGTGAAAAAAAGAATCCTATTGTTATATAGTTCTTGGACAAGAGACTGGTGTGCAGTAAACAGATGTAACAGAACCTGACTGCTCAGTTTATTCTCTATAGCTGTTTCATGACTCCTGTGAAAAATTGTGTGCCTACTGAACTTGATTGTTGTTTTAGCTAGAAAGCACAGCCACTGGTTTGTGTAGCACAGAACCTTTCCTGAATTGTAGAGGGGATGTGAATTAGAAGGCACATCAGTCTCTGAGTTCACAGTTCAAATGGTGCAGCTATTGAGACAGGCTTGTTTTTGTCTCAAATTTCTGTACAAAAATTATGTTTTTCAGTTAATTTGTAACAATTCATTTTCCAGTTGCTAGTAATTTACCCTGGAAGTCTGTTCTCCCACCTGTCTTAGTTAAGTGTTTTGCTATTAATAGTTGGCGTTTTGTTTATTTTTATTTTGCATAAATAAACAAATGTATTCATGAAGTCTTTTATACTAAATCAGGTATAAATAAAGCTACATTTATTATCTGTGTCCTTTTAACTTATTGGTTAGGATAGTTTAATGTCAGAGAAATCAACCAAGAACACATTGAAATGTTTACAGGATTGTATATAATGCTGATAGTAATGTGCTACTGACATTCCTGTGAAAATTAATGCTTACAAACAAGTTTTTAAGTTCTTGACACCCAGGCTGCTGGTAGATATAAATGCTTTCCATTTTTGGCAGATACGTTTTTGTCTTTCTGATAAGTGTGGTGTAAATTGTCAAGAGGGAGGTCAAGATGTTCCCATGCTCTGCTGTATTATTACTGTACACAGAACCTTCTCTACTCTCAGTTATTAAGCATCATGGGAAAACTCTCCTGTACATTTTAATACCTTTTCAAAGCTGTAATTAATAAATTGAATTCCTCTTTCCTCCAGCCAATTTATTAATGATCTAAATAATGTTCATTAATATTTTCAATTGTATTTGTCCAGTGGTAGGATCAAAAGTTGACTGTGTGTTTGCCCTAAAGGTTTTAGAGACCTCACTGAGCAATAGCAGCCATTCTACTAGATGTAGGAAAAGTAAAAAAAACATAAACCTTTCCTCTTTCTTCTTCATTTCATGTTGGTGGAACAAGGTGTGATGTGTAGCTTCTCTTCTGAAACTTACATGGACTTTGTGCTTGTAACTCTGGCAGCCATAACCCTAAAGTGGCTTGATGTGAGCTGTATGCAGGGAAAGAGGAAGAGATGCTAGGAAGCTGCATATGTTCTCCACTTTACAGAAAAGAGACCCAGGCTCACTCAGTATTCCAAACTAACCATGAACTTCATTTACAATAATTCCCAAAGCCTTTAGAGGTCTGAATTTTGGACATTGTCCTGCATTATTACAGATGTAATCAGGCATTGGTGTTAATACTTCACATGTCTGTGAGCAGTAATTTGGGCAAAATAAAACAAATATCCTTGGTTACATGATCTGAATACATTTGAATGAAGATGGTCTAACCTTGCAGCCTATATGTAGCACAAGCATCTTTGTATCTGTACAGCATTATAAATGCTATTTTTCAACTATCAAAGTAAAGCTTGAGGCTGAAAGACCTCTCGGTTATTTCCAATTTACGTCCATATGCCTTTCTGACTCTTACAATAAGAAGCACTATATTCCTCCATCCCTGTGGCTCTCTTGTAATTTATTTACTTGGGGAAGATCTGCTTTTAGATGCTGCATCTGATTTTCAATGATTTCCTGCTCTTAGCCAGCTGAATTGACTGAACCAGAAGGAGGTCGTCTGTTGCCTAAGGTCACACATTGAATGCCTGGGCTTGGATTTAAAGTTAGATCTGGAGTATTCCCTCTTGATTCTTTGCAGCTTGCAATAAGTACTTATTTTAAAATGTCAGGTGTATTTGGGAATAATCAATCTTTATTACATGCACACAGAAAATTATAATGCTTATCCCAGTACTTACTAAATACATAGTTCTTGCAAATTTTATTTGTCAAAGCAGCTATAAAGCAGGAACAGTGTAGAGTATTTTACAGTTACAAAACATAAACATGCCTAAAGCAATAAAAAATTCTGTGAACTGGTAAATGAGGAGACACTTTCTTGGGTTTTTTAATTCAGATAGGTATTTGTGTTAATGGCAAATTTAGCATGGTGCTATTTCCTTTAATAGGAATCAGGTGAAGAGCAAATGTGTGCTTTATCTCTGTTCTCAATAGTAAATCACATTGTGTGCATCTTCATGTGAACCTGAATTGCAGGACCTTGGACCTCTATTTTCCTGATATTCTACTTGTATAATTCTTTATGTAAGAAGCTGTATATCAGGAGCTGGAGAAATTAAGTTTTTA